CCCCCCGCCCCGCCGTGAGATTCACCAACGGTGCAGCATACGGTCCCATACGACGCGTTGCGAAGAGCGTACAGTACTGAGTCCGCAAGGCAAGGCCCGTCTTCGGGTCTATTTGGTGCGTGAGGTAATCTCCTGATGAGTCGGTCGAGATAGCCCTGGAGAGCAAGTCGCTTGGTGAATGAGGCAGAGAGCCGGGCAAGTGTTCAGCTCACGATATAGAGTGCTGAGGTAGCTGGAGAGTGTGCAAATGCTTGAGGAAGGGGAGTGAATAGACGAGCGCCTCACCGCGCTCTGTGAATGCCACCAATGCGGATGCACCTGCGATTACAGCGACAGATCGACGAATTGACACAATCGCTTGCACCATGCACGGAATAACGCACCATTCTTGTCGACTATTTCCACCCTCCGAACAGCGCCCGTTTTGCTCCCCCACTCCGTTCGCGCAATCCGTTCCCCGTCGACATCAGCAACGCACTTCACACCTTTCGCGCCAGCACTGACCCATATGCAATCCTTGTGCTTGACATTATTGTCAACTTCATGACCCCGATCTACAAGTTTATCGTTAGCAAGGGCAGCACTGAGCCCCTGTCGATCAGCGTGACAGCGAGCGCCAGTTTTGGCGTCAATTACGACGGAGCCCCCAGGGATGGGGTACATAGAAGCCTCGATTATTTTTGGAGAGCTGGACACTGTCCAGGCACCAGATGGGCTGCGTGTGAGGGTGTGAACGATCGTGTGCCCAGCGGAGGTGCTTGCGATAAGTCGGATGCGTGGAACAAAATCTGAATGCAAGTGTCAGTGAAGATAAGTACGATGCGAACCCCAATTGAACGGCTGCGGTACCTGACGCCAGTGGGCATACTGCCCAGGTAAGCGATGTGATAGAATCTCGCTCAGCGGTCGAGTCCCGAGGAAGAATGGAATGTCTATGCTGGGTCTGTGAAGGTGCCGTCGTCCGCAAAATAACCCGCGGTCCACGCATATCGATGACGAGTAGAACTCCAAACGAGTATGCGACAGCGAGAAAGCCTGTATGTGATCAATATTATCTATACAAGATGACATTATCATGCCACTTGCCTGTATCTGCTACAGCACACGCAGTGATGGCTCCTTGCCCAGGCTTTACAGCGAAGAATGGCTGAAACATCCGCGTGCTTGATATATGAGTAAGGGATACCAGTTCTTCGTCAGGAGGATTTACAGCGGCCTCTCCTTCTCCCGAGCGCAATCTATACACAATGAGGGCCCCGTTTGTCAAAGCGATCATACATTCCAATGATTCAGGAGCAATGTGAACTGAAGCGATGTGAAGCTGTCCTCCGTGAATGGCTTGCTCGAAAGTTGACTGCGAAGATGATGATGACACATGAAGGGAGCTGGAGGGAGAAGTAACGAGATGGAGAGAAGGATCATGAATGACAGGAGATACCTCGATTGTCAGAGCAGGCCAGGGTTTGGGGAATGTAGCTGAGAGAGGGTTGTCCAACGAACTCACGAGAAGCTGCGCACTGAGGTCAAGAAAGCGGACGGAAAGATCAAGATCGTGCGTTATCAGTACGCGACGCGGCTGATACTGAGAGGTGAGTCAGTATTTGTATAATATCTACGCTCCGTAAAATATGCAGCGCGCTTACCTTCATGAGTTTCATTTGACCATCTGCATCTTCAACCCAAGCTTTACCTCCCCAGGTTGGCAGATAGCCTCGATCCGCGTCAGCGCTCGATAGTTGTTCATAAGGGTCTCGCTCGAGTTGGATAATTACACCCCCCAATGCATCCCAAAACTCTAATGGTAATCCAATTTGTTCGGGATCTGCAGAGAGCGACATAGATTGAAGCGTGGATGCCAATTCTTGAGTGAGTGCCTCCGTCGGATTATCGCTCCCCGATATACTGGGTGACTGAGCGACAATCGGACTCGTCGTAACGGGAAGGAATGCGGGTGGGGGAAACTCATATCCGACCATTATGCGAGTTTTTCCACTAGAGTCCAAATCCGAATCTGATAAGAGCAGGATCGTTTGGGGGTCCCATGTACATGCGAAGTGTGGGCTTTCTCGGGGAATCAACAAGAAATCTTGCACAGCCCCAGCAGACAAGTATATATGTGAATCTAGAGGCGTTAGTGTCTCTCGCATTGCTATACGGGTATTGTTATGCAGAGGCGGAGGAACTGGCGCTTTGTGAGCCGCTGATGCAGCGGGAGGTGAAGCCGGGGGATTGAGTGGCGGGAAAAGGAACACGGTAATTCCTTGGGAATCCTTATTGCCAAACCCTCCGAGCACTGTGAGAGTAGTGTCACCGCCGCGAGGATCAGATGAATTGGGAAAACCGCTCCACGACAATTTGAAAATTGGTTCGCGCGCATCTACAGAGGGTTTTGGCTGTTCATTTGAGGGCTGACCAGAGGGAAGAAAAAGTTCAAGCTTGGCCACATCCACGACGCCAACATCATCCTCGTTGTCGAGCGTGCGGACTAATAGCGGTCGTTCCTCATCCTGCAGAGCCCAGAACGCAATACTGCCGTCTGTGTACCCGACTGCCAACATATGGCCCGACGGATGAATAGACAACGCCGTCACTGAGGAATGACGCGGTAACAGGATGTCCTGTAAAGTCATGGATGTAGATTTGGTCAGCTGAGAGATTGCCGCACTGACCGCTGTATAATATCCCGATCCTCCAGGTGCTCCTGGGGGCAGGATCAATTCGTAAACACGGACCATCTCGCGTTGTCTCTATGTCCCACAGTTAAAGTAGAGCCTCTGAGGCGAAACATGCTTACCAAGTCGTATAAAATCACGCCACCTATGAGCCTTTAGGGACAGGGCGTCATCATCAGAGCAGGGCTGATATCTCACCTCCGAATGCAATAAATAGCAGATTGACATCTCTGGGATGGATTACCATATCAAGAATCGTATTTCTGACGAGATTGATGCGTCATGAAGTTCCACGCAAGTTTTATAGCGATATAACGCACGAATCTGAAGTGGGTATAGCAGGCATACCAGAAGCTTGCACCTTCTCTTCGTACAGTGACCACAGGTTTGGCGGCACTGTGTATGGAGACATGCGAAGGCAGAGCAGATCATACATTCTAATCTCGCCATTGGAGAGCGCTATCAAAGCCTGAAAATGTAAGAATTCAATGACTCATGATGATGTGTGCTTATACAGGAAACCGACATGGGTATGTGAAGGCGACACCAGTAAGCAGCTAGGATATCACAGTGACTATCTAAACATCATATTTGACGGGGTTAATCAAATCTTACTTCACTGGACGAGGCAAGTTAACAATCTTCTGTAGCTTGGGTGCGCCTATCGTTGTGAGGTCCCAAATATGGAGGCGATCATGCTCATCTAAGTGCAAATGTTAGTCCTGAAAGGTGGTCAAAAATTGTAGAGCTGGATTCGAACCAATACAGCACAGTTTGCAGAGCGATGGCACAAAGTGTAAATGCTGCACTCGCGCGTCCGGCGCGTCAGATAGCCTAAGCGTGCATTCAACTCCCGGTGAGCCATATAAGGCAACAAGGCCCTTCGATGTCCCTAAGGTACATAAAAATGGGAATATCCAGACAGCAAGATGTGCAAGCCAGGCGTACCGACTGCTAGAAGACCAGAAACAGGGTCGACAGCAGACACGGTAATATCGAGGCGATAGTGAGTGGTTCTCAAAACCCCAGCTTCCCAGTCAATAGAGTCTGAGATCTCAAGAGACAAATCCGCATAGTCTTTCTCATGCTTGAGAAACATCTAGATGTCGACTAGTGACTGGTACTAGTAATGGTGAAGGCGGTGAAATGACGCTTGACGGCGCTTTGGCGGCAGTGCACGCAGCCAGAACGCGACGAACACGTGAGCATTCCCGATCACGATCACATGACAGTCGCGCTCTTGTCAAGTTCAAGTTGAACTTGGTTGTAATTATTGAACGATCCACAGAAGGGCGACCAACTTACCTCTCACTCAACTCTACTGGCGGGCTGATCAGTTTCGTTAACTTTGTTATAATGTCTACCTGGGGAATTGGGGATAGTCATGACACGGATGAGGTCCAAACATTGAAAGAGACACTGCGGTCTAAAGGTGCGGAATCACTATATGGAATATCATTTACTCCTGCTGTCTAGACATGTCCTCTAATTTATTTATGCATTTCTAAGACACCTTCTTTTTCATCTCTTTAAGCTGTGCCTGCTCTTACTGTTCTTGCTGAATATCCGTCCCAGATGCGCAGCTTGCCACCCTCGGAGGGCAACTGATGAAGCGGGATGACGATAATAAGGGTTTCCAATCTGCCTTGAACGATGTAGTTGAGAAGGTCCGTCAGATTCAATTGCAACACGCATACTCATGAACAGGGCTCTTGCCATAGCTCCGACGTGAATCAGATAGAGTACTCGAGCTCGATGCAGCTTTGCACAAACGGAACGAGGAGCTCCAGAACGAGCGTCTCACTCGGCAGAACATCGAACTGACATTGCATGCCATCCAACAGAAGTTCGCGGGTTCCGAGCGTAGCCTCCAGGAGCTTCAGTCAGCATTTGACGCAGTCTCTTCGCAGAGTGATCACATGGAAGCGGAACAACTGAAGACACAGACAGAGAATACAACCTTACAGAGACGGATTCTTGATCTCCAACAGGCCTTAGCAGCAAAGGAACAATCGGAGCAAATTCTTCTTCGAGAAAGTCGGAGTTCAGCCGCTAGTGCAACAAGTAATCGTAACCGACAACGCTCCTCTTCAATAACAAAAATGCATATCGCATCCCTGGAGCAAGAGGTATCCGATGCCAATACTCGTATGGTCAAGCATGCTACAGAGCTGTCGGACGCGAGGGATCGCCTAGCTCGCGCGCAAGAAGCCGTCGTTCGCTTGGAGAACGAGAAGATGGCGATGGAGAAGCAATGGATGAGACGGGTACAGGAGATGGAGACCAAGCTGGGAGAGCATGAGGACGATTTGCGCGCGCTTCGACAAAGCGGAGGGGCAGATGCGGCGGCGAGGGAAGAATCTCTCCTGGAAAGATTGAACGACGAAGAAAGAAGGGTGATGGCTCTGGAAAGTGAGCTTTCGAGATCTTCAACATCTCACGAGAGAGAACTGTCCCTCGTGAGGGCAGAACTTGAGCGAACTCAAAGGATACTGGAAGAAGAGTATCTGAGAACGCAGACCGCAGAGGGCAGGCTGATTGACCTTGTCGGGGAGAAAGAGGAAGCTCTTGATGAGCTGGATAGGACCCGTGAACAAGCTCAGCAGCTTCAAAGGGAATTTGAGCTAGCAACGAAGAGACTCGGGTATGCACTCTGTAGCCGCTTCACATCGTTACTTACATTGTCATGTTTTTATCGGCAGAGATCTAGAGACAATGCAAGCACATTCAATTTCGGGACTCCAAGCGACCACACAGTCTCCCGGACCTGATGCAGAGACTGCAGCGGCTGTGGAGCGCCTTCTCGGCGCCATTGAGCGATTACGCGGAGAACGAGATCAGCTACGCCGAGACCTGGAATTCCTCACCATCGAACATCAATTTAGTGTGGAGCATCTGAACTTGAAGCTCGCCGCCGCTATTGCATGTCCTGCATCCCCCGCCTTGGACATGGGTGGTCAGGAACAACCCGCAGCTCATTGTCCTACACCGGCAAGACAAGAAGCAGCAGATGGACGCTCAATATGCGGTCAAAAAGCTGCGATGGTGCTGGCACTTGTCGTGCAACATGTTCATGCCGAGCAGCAGGAAGGCTTCTTGCGAATGGAAGACCTAGAAGAAGAACTTGCCCACGTTCAAAGTTTACTCCAGGAGGCGCGCCGCGAATTGGAGGTCAACGAAGTACATAAACACCAGACGCACGCCATTCAGGAGCACACGGATGCCTATGTTGGCCAGTTACAGGCGATGCTGGACGACAGTACTCGAACTCTCCAGCAGGCGCAATCTCAGATCTCCGTTCTCGACGATTCTATCGAACGATTGCAGGCAGAAAGTCTACGGGAGCGTGAGGCACACGACGACCTTGGCGTGGCTTTTGCCCAAACGGAAAGGCAGCTTTCCGAGGGTATGCAAGCCCTTGCCAGCGTTGAGGAACAGAAAGACGCGCTTGCGTTGCAACTACGGCATGCACAGCAAGACCTGGAGCGTACCCGCAACGAGCTGACGGAAGCGGACACTCGACATCAGAGACAGCTGTGCGCGATGTCTTCTGGAGAATCAACTCGCGCATTATTGGACCAAATCGCTACGTTGAAAGATCGTGTTGAGAGGAGAACAGAACAAATTGGCATCCATCAACATGATATCAAGCGGCTTGAGACAAATCTTCGGATACAGGAAGACCGAATTTCGGAGATGGCGCTCGAGATAGAAACGATGCTTGGAGAAAAAGAGGTCATGGTGGAGGATTGTAGGACGACGAGGGAAACGCGTAACGAGACGCTGCAGCGATGCGAGATACTCGAGGAGAAAAACGAGCACCTCGAAGAGGAGACAGAGAGGCTTGCATTAGCTCTCACATCCGTTTCTGAACGCGAGACAAATCTGATGAATGAGGTTCAGGCGCTATCAAATCGACTTCTAGATGAGGAAGCACGCAGAGAAAACCTCGAATTAAGCCTACTTCAGGTCGGAGCCGATAATGCCCGCCTCATCGACGAGACATCCCATCTGGAGGCTAAGCGTGAACATCTTACTCAATCACTCGAAGAGAGGGGTCGCCTTCTGCATGATTTAAAGGTGGAGAGGGATCTAGCAGCAAATGATAGCATTCAGCTGTCCGTCGCTTTAGCTACGTTTCACATTGCATTGCAAGCGGCACAATCATCTTCTACACACGCTCAACATTGCAGTCGCTCCTTTCAAGTGCAAGTGATCAACTTGCAGCAGGAAATACAGACTAGGCTGAACGTTATAGCCACACTTGAACAACAAGTCAAGGACTTCCAAAGTCAACAGACCGTGAATGCTGTTGCGGTGACGCAGCTCACTGATCGACACGTTGAGGTGCGAATCGGATGAAAACAATGCTCCGGATTTTGCTTATTTTTTTTTGACAGGAACTGCACGAGCTCTCTCGTGTCAACGACGCTCTCCGTACTCAGCTGGAAGAGAATGCACGCAATTTGTTAGCGGAAGAAGCATGTCGAATGGAATTAAGGGCAATGCAAGCCAGGCATGGCAGCGAGATGGAGGATTTGCAACGTCAACTCAGACGCATCGAAGGGGAGCTTGACCTTGCGCGACGGCAATGTGCGGATGCAGTAGAATCTCGTCAGCAAGCGCGAGACGCTCTGAATTCCATGAAAGCAGAGTTTGAAACCCAACTCGCAGAAGCTACGGCGAAACTACAGTCCAAAGACGTCACCGAGGACGAAATGGCATTGCTTCAGTCCCGCCATGCAGCCGAGTTAGAAATCCTCCGTGAGCAACTCAGCGTTGCCTCGTCAGACCTTGAGGACAGACAGAAGGCATACGAAGAGCTAAGTATAAAATCTCACCAACTTTCCGAGAATATGGAGGTCCTCGTGGCTCAAATCGCCGAAAAGGCTGAGAATTGCCAGCGCGCAGAAGCCCAAATGACTCAGTTACGCTCAGATCTTGCTCAAGAGAAACAGAGTTTTCAAAATCAAATCGAGGCAATCACTACAGAATTACGACTTGCTAGGGAAACTGCAGGTGAACTTACAGCACAGTGCCAACAGCACATCCGCGATTCATCTAGCAGGGAACAAGATTTGAAGAGCCAACTGGTATCCTCGCTCGAGGAAGTCGAGTATTTGAAGGCAACGCTGCAAGGAGAGATGGACCTGCATACTCGCAGTCAGAAGAATCATGAGGTAGAGCTCCAGACCACTAGAGAGAAGGTTACGGCCTCCGAACGTTCTCGCGAGTGCTTAGAGAAGGACCTGGAGGACTTGCATGCTCAATTAGCTGATATGAATACGCACTTGGAAGGGGTTTCGGCCGAAAAAACTAGCCTACAGTACGATAAAACAAACATGGAGGCGGAAATCCAACGCTTGAAGTCTTTGCAACGATTCCTAGAAAGCCAGACCAGAGATAGGTATGGGACTACTTTCCTTTGGATGAAGTTGATTTGATTGTGTGCGATGCAGTGAACTTCAGCTGGTGTCCTTGAAGGAGGATCTGGAAAAAGTGCGCGTTGATTCTATCAGGTTTGAGAAAGACTGCAAATCAGCGGAGGCCGCCCTCTCAATGCGCGAGATTCAGCACGAACAGACTCTTGCCTCGCTTCGCCGCGAGCTGAATGCTCTTCGGGCAGACCCTAAGCTTGAAGACAGGTTGACGGAGCTCCAGGAGCGTAACCTGGAGATGGAGGAACTTCTCAAAAGCAAATGCCTGGAGATTGAAGAAAACGATGATCGCTTCATTGAGTACGTTATCTAATTCTCACTTTCGGAAGCATTGATTTACGACAAAATCAGAATGCTAAAGGAGAAGAAGAAGCTTACCAGTAAGGTCGAAAGCCTCACTAGGAAGGTGCATAATTTGCAGGGTAAATTGGCCGCTACGGGTGAGAGCAATGCAACTGTGCCAGAAACTGGCGCTTCTGCGACGCCGCATCACGACACCTCGGATGCAAATACCTCCAGAGTTGATGCACTCAGTAACTTGAAAACAAGAATGCCCTCCGGGTCCGTGCCTGCTGCACTCTCGATTCCGGCGCCTCTGCCCAATGTTTCTAAAACTCAGTCGCGAGTAGTTTCCGGATCAGCCGTCTTGCCCAGACCGAAAACGCCAGAGAGAAGAACCACTCACCAGACAGTTTTCAGGGCACGCACGCCCGAGCATAGTCGTGCATCTTCCAGTACCGCACCCATTCCGGCTATGCCAGTTGCAGTTGCTTTGCCTTCATCGTCCTCATTGGGTAAGAAGAGGCGAGCCCCTGACGACTTCGAGGACTGTGAAAGTGTACCCCCGCAAGGTTTTACAATCGACAGCGTTCCAAGCGTCGAGACTACCACGCCACGAGCGCGCAGAACCCTACACGCGATCCGTACTGGGTTCACGCCAGTACGCTCTTATGCATCAAATCAAGAGGCATCCCAGCTGTCGCCTACGAGAACCACAAAAGGAGCGCCTCTCGACTCAACGATTGCCGACGTCACAAATAGTCCACGAGCGGCATCCCGGACGGATAGCACCAAAGCGACCAAGCGGGGCTGGCTAGGAAAAATCAGAAGCGCGCCTGTTCAACCGTTGGCCGGCCGTTCTGTTTCAAAGCCTGAACGACGATGATGCGCATTTCTTATCTATTTGGACAAATTACTGCATATATGTATCGGTAGACACAGCTTATGTTTCATGATAGTTATCACTACTGTCTATACCCTCAATTATATTCTAAATCGCTTGGGCGATTCGCAGGAGACCAATCCCTCGAGCGCTCCGTTGACTTGAATTGAATTAGTTACATGTGTCCTGTTCTTCCACGGCTAATGTCTCATTCTTCAGGGACTTCAACAAATTCTTCTTGAATTCTTCTTCCCAATCCTATTAGTTGACTACGATCAGCATTCCGGCACATCGTGAGTGAACAACTTTTGACGGAACAAATAATTGCACTCACAATGACCAGCATCGTCGACACTCACGAACGTGAACACGCTAGCACGAGCACCAGCCATGCGTAACCAAACCCTGGCCAGGAAATGTCTGGAGCAGAGCGGAAAGCTGCTTGGCATTTGGCCTTCAAGAGCATCATCTGGGAAATGTCTTTCAGTATACTGAGATTTGAAGACACTCCAACCCATACCTATGCAAGATTGCTTCGCCACGAGCAAACACTATTGGTGTCACTGTTGTATGCTGTAATAATACCCAGGTATTCCATCCAAACATTTGACAAACGTCAGGACCCATGACTCGCAGGCGCGAAGAGATATGCCGCTTGTGTCCTGTTGATACCACCGTTGAACTATTCGATGAATTGAACTTGCTTTTTGCGAAGATTAGGGCGTACATGTCTCCGTTGGAACAACCGGCCTACAGACAGCCTGTTCTGCAGCGTAGAAAAATGAACCGTGTCCAGAATGCCCGGCTGTAATCAATTGAGCGGAAGATGTTGTAGTCTTCCTCCACAAATGGATATAATTAACCAGGCTGCGCATATCTTCTCGAACCATCAGTCCGTCCAGTCATCCCATCTCGGTAAAACAATTATGAACACCCAATGTATTGTACTGTCCGAGTAGTAAAAGTGGAGTTATTATTCAGCACCATTGTCAGCAGATCTAAAGCTTACAATCTGTGTTGCATGGGTTTCGTCCTCACTCGTGCGTCATAGAATCTCTGACTGGCTTTCTCCCATACATCTGATGCCAATTCTCAGCTTTCGATTGAGCTCTGCTCGGATGCAAGCTGTATTGCGTCTTGAGGGTCAGGCAGGAGGGAAATAGCGATATCATAGCCTTCGCGCGAGATCCTGTGTAACAGTGAGCTTTTGCACCTGCGCCACGCGGAATTGCACGTACGTTGGGACATGGATTGATCTTAGACCATAGGTATATTATCTGAGTACATCTATTCATGCCCATATTTGTCAATCGCCTCCAGCGCAGAAAATCGTTCTCGCATTTTGGCGATGCTGTAGCGGTACTCGGGATTTCCTCTCCGTGGCATATGTAGCCTGGGACAGTCAATCCATGACCCAAACACATCTAAGCATATCTATCTATATTTGTACGTCACCTTATTTTATGAGATGCCTATTTTGGTATATATTCATTCCCGACCTCCGAGTCCGCCATCGTGATTTCAACCAGACGATCCGCTTCAACCGCATTCGTTCGATATCAATTGCTACGACGTACAATTAAAGCGTATATAATACAGCGTAACATCCATGGTAAGTGGTGCAGTCTTTAACTCGCCTCCTCCAATAAGTGTCAGCTTCTACTAGTTGTAGCCCGTGGGTGGTCTCGTACCCAGACGTGTCTTCGACACGTCTAGGGTAGCCTAGC